CACCACACACACACACACACACACACACACACACACACACACACACACACACACAGTTTGCTTTGTCCCAGAGCAGATAAGCATGCTGGCTGTCAGTAATGGAGCTTTGAAAGGGAATATCTGCATGTCTGCAGCCAAGTTCAAAACAATGAGAAGAGCGGCCACTTGACTTCAGGAGATTATGAGACATTTCCGGAGGCCAATCACAGTGCAGTAATGCATCACGTCGGCATTTCAGCCAGGGTGCAGCAAGCTTTATGCTTCTCATGGAGATGGATTACCAGGAGTGCTCCAGCTGCAGAGTCCAGGCGCTCTAAGTGCCTTGCCAGTGTGGATACATCAGGAGTTAGGGTGCCCGGGGCTGCTTTAATGCGCTCTAACTTGCAAGTGTAGCCATGCCCTAAATTTCTCCCTCCTTTGCTCCTTTTCCCACTGTTTTCTGAGACACAGGCTAACACCCTTATTTCATTTATACTGTGCCCATGAAAGGACCGATCATACCCTCTCATTCTCCCAAGTCTCCTCTTTTATAGTAGGAGAAGAATGTATTTAGTTCTGTGTCTCTTCACATGTCCTAGCTTCAGATAGTTTTTGCTGTGTATTTCCCACACTCAGAATTATGACTTGAGCCTTTATCAAATTGTGTAACAGGCATTTTTGGAAAATGGATTTTTTCTTTTTTAAATTACCAAGTTATCTTTTTGCAATACAAGTGGATCATCATGAACTGATCAGTACAACCCCAGTTCCTTAAACTCTGGCCACAAACCTGTTTTTTTATCCACAGGTAGGACCCTCTCCCTGTACTTTTCCATGACACATACCGTAATGCTTTGTGCTTGTATGGCATCTTCCACGTAAGCCTCTCAAAGTGCTTTCCACATATTCATCAACTTAACCTCACAACACCCATGTGGGTTTTCCCATTTCAAAGAGTGATTTGTCCAAGCTTACACACACAAAAAATCAGTGGCACAGCTGGAAACAAAATCCAGGCTAAATCCCAGCTGTGTACTCTAACCACAACAATGCTCTCACAAAACACCACAAGCAGATGTTATACTTACATTTTTCACACAGTCTTCCAATAGCTGCAATAAGTAAAGCAGAAAAAAGAAAATTATTTTTGACAGAGACAATTCAAATAAAACTTTTGTTTTAAATAGGTGAACTGCAATTTAAAAGTGAATTAATGTTTTTTTAAAAAAATCTGTTTAAAATCTAAACTAATTTAACAAAGTACAACGGCAGCCTTAACATAGCAAATACATACATTTTAATAGTAAACAGTAAGCATCCTTCTAGACATACATTTGCCAAGACCAGAGCGTAGAGTTCAATGTTCCCCATGAGGCATTCAATGGCACCATTCACACTTCCAGCACAGCGCTGCATTCGCTACACTGCTTCAGGTATTAACAAGAGCACGGAAATAACAGAGCCCAATACACAGGCTATGGCAGAAACTTTCCATTGCATTAATGGGAGCTGGATGAGGTTTTCAGAGACGAAATTATTTTCAAATATTTTGTTTGAAGTCTATGTTTGATTTTGAAGGCTACTAGCATATTCAGGTCATGTTCAGGATGTTATTTGAATTAATTGAAAAAAGTATTACCATTTGTCTATAAGATTTTAAAATAAATAAATAAATAAATAATACTGTAGATGAATGTATGCAGTGTTCTTGGAGCCATGTTGGTCCCAGGATATTAGAGAGACCAGGTGGGTGAGGTAATATCTTTTATTGGACCAACTTCTGTTGGTGAGAGCTCTTCTTCTCCTTAAGCAGAGCTCTGTGTAAGCTCAAAAGCTTGTCTCTCTCACCAACAGAAGTTGGTCCAATAAAAGATATTACCTCACCCACCTTGTCTCACTAGTAGATGACTACAGTAAGTATCAAGCTATAGAGAGTTGTATACCCTAGTGACCACCACAGCAAAGACTCAGTCACCACTGAGCAGATAGATACCCACCAGGCTGGAAGAGTAGATCTCAGATAGAGTGAGGCCTCTCACCATAAAAGTACAGTTCTACGCTGAAAAATGATTCTTTAAAAACAGCACCCAGGTTTCCATGTTTCCCTTGTCTCAACAAGAACAGTTCAAATTTGCACTTGCAAGCAAAGATTTTTTTTTCCTGAGTCAGCCAGCTCTAGATCCAAGAATCAAGCTAGTCTCTTTCTCTCTCATGCCCCATCACCACTATATAGATTTAGCAAATCAACTTCTGTCCTCAGTTACACCATCTATTGCACAGTTAACTGAGGGCAGAACTTGGCCCTACAATTGGAAAGAATGAGCAGTTCTGATGATAAAATATTCTCCCACTTGTTCTCTTGGCACTATCAGGATAATAGGAGTAAAGAGCAAAGATATTTGGTCACTAGCGTGAGCAACTATGACTGCTTAAGCATACAAACTAGTCTGTTGAGTAAGTAGATATTATATTCATTTTTCTAATAATTGAGGTGCAATTAAAAGTATTTAAAACCGGCCACTTAAGAGGCAACTAATGTAGAAAACAATCTACAAATATAGAATTACAATAACAGACCCTTATGTTCTTTGTAGGTCACAAGCTGGCAATCACAGAGTGAGGCATTAGGTTATATGGGAACACAACATGCATGCTGGAGCACACAGGTGAGGCACAAGGCCAAGAGCCCTGGCCTACCTGGAGAAGGACAGGTGACTGGGGTAAATGGGAGGACAAGGCTGTTTCTAAAAAGTGTTTTGGATGCGTTTTTGTGGGAGTCACCCCAACGTTAGTAACAACCCACAGCACTGACAGGACACCTCCCAGCCAGAAAGCACTTCATAAAGGGGGGGGAGCGAGAAACATTCCTCCCAGGCTTACCCAGCCAGTCTGTAGCAGAGCCAGAAACAGAACTTGGGTCCCTCTGACTCCCAGACTCATCCTGGTACCACAGTTCCAACGTCCTCCCCTCCCCCTCCCGGTGTCCCCTCCCACCCGCTGCCAACGTGCCCCCCGCACTCGGGCCCCACTCGCTCGCCGAAGTGCCCCTCCCTCCCCGCCGGGATCGGGTGTGTGGGACGCTCCGCCCCTCCCCGCGCGGAGGCCGAGGTGACCCTGGACAGTGTCGGGATCCCCCACCCAACGGGCGCGGGAAAGAGGGAACCAGGGACATCCGGGTCTCACCCACTCCCGCCTGCTTGCGGCAGAAGATCAGGTCCGGATGATGTTTAGCCATTTCTCGTCACCGCGCGAGTTAAGTCGCGTGGTCACCGTTGAGTCCTTTCACCCTTGACCTTTCACCCCAGGTCCTGGCAGGGTCTATGTGATCTTCTCCCACAAAGCTGCCCGAGCTTCCCAATGACAAATGCTAAATCACTCCACAGCCGCGTGCATAAAGTACCCTTAGACCACGACTTTCTCCCCCGAGACCGCCCCAGAGTCCCCTCTGTTAAGCCGGATAACGCGTCCCCACTGCTTGGGATACTTTCCTTCCAGGACCTGCAAACCCCACCCACTCTCCTTCTACAGGCTCAGTCGCTTGTCGGAGCCCCGCCCTCTCTGGGGCTTGGCTCCACCTTTTCGCCAGAGACCACGCCCACTTTCGGACATTATTTAAAGGCTGCGCGTGACGTAATTAGAATGCGACATCATCTTTGTCAGTGAACAAAATGGCGCCGTACTGTGTCCTGGTGACTCGCCTGCAGGTGACAGTGCCGTAAGGCGAGCGGGGTGCGGTGGTGGGGAGCCGGGTGCAGTTGGGCGGCCCGTGGCGGTGGGAGCCGGCTGCAGGTGGGAGGCTTGGGGTGGCGGTTTGAGGCCGGGGCGTCCTGGTTCTCCCTGTAGGTCAGCGTGTCCCTCGCGCCTGCCCAGGCCCTGTTCCTATAGCGACTGGGGAGCGGGGTCCCTGCAGGGCGGGGGCAGCCCGGGCTCCGCTGTCGGGAGGTGACACCCCGGCTGCGCTCCCTCCGCACGCCCGGGGGCAGCCGGGCAGTGGCCTTTGCTCAAGGTGAGGACAAGGTGAACTGTGAGGTGGGGCCCAGAGGGGACAGGGGTCGGGCCGAGCCCCTCGGAGGCAGACTGCAAACCTGCTGCTAGTGAGCCAGGTCCTGTCTGTGCTGGCCTCGGTTCTCCCCTCTCTGGCCCCGGGTGTTCTGCAGTGTGTGTGTGTTAGATTTAAACTCCTGTGAATAAACCAACTTCACCCACCCTCCCCCCACATCCCAGCTAGGGCTGCAATTTGACCTGGGCCTCTGGGACTGCCATGCAGAGGTTATTTGGGTTGCAATCTGTGCCAAGGGCTGGTGGGTGGTTGCCATTGTGCACCTGCATTGACTTGTTAGAAATAAGTGATCATAATTTTTTTTTCTCAGATTAAATTTTGTTGTTTCTTTTCTCCCCTTGTTTGAGATATAGTGAAATAAAATACAACTCTTATTAATGTATATGTAAACCATCTCTAGTGGACTATACCTCTTGACACTTCCGTTTACCTGTTCTCGAAAATCACCAGTTGCCACTGGAGCATTAGCATACAAGACTTCAAGTGGAGAATGTGTATGTACATGTTTAGGCCTAAATACAGTAATTACAGGGACTATGCAATGAGACATAATGAGGGAAGAAAGAGATCCACCTTCCCATCCAAGTTCTATCCAACTAGAACTTGAATAAATTTACACTTTTTAGAAGAGATGCTCTATGTGTAATGATCTCTCAAACTCATACAAGCTTGCAACATTACTTCAATACAATCTGATTCTTGTACTTCAGGCATATTTTTGTGTCTAAATCTGTAATTTAAGAACTCTAGAGTTTCTCATTATTCTGTTGAGGACATGTATATGGATATAACTTTCTCTTTTAAAACTAAAATGTTCATGGAAAATCATGCTCCTCATTTAAAGCATGGAACTGGGAGTCAGGAGATCTAAATTCTGTTCCTCATTTTGCCTTAGACTTTACCTGACCTTCCCTAACATTTTTCCTACTTTGCTTCAGTTTCCTAATCTGTAAAATAGTATTAATTTACCCATAGTACTACTTAAGATGTTGTCATCTTAATTCACTATATATTTGTAAGTGTTTCATCTTAGGTGGAGGTACTATAGAAGAGTATATTAATTTTATGCTTAAAATATAAAGGGTCCTAACTGCAGTTTGATTTATAATATGTCAAATTATTTGAAATGTTGCTTCAGTAACCTTTTCTAACTGGAATAACTAATTTCACTGATTAAAAATGCTTCTACATGACTATTTTCGTAAAACAGGGGAAGAATTGCTCTTACTGTAGATAAATAGGACAGCACAAAAATAAGGAACAGATCCATCATGTGAGAACAAGGGGTCAGCTGATGGAATGAATGGCAGGTCAGTTTAGAAGAAATATAAGGAAATACTTAGCATATAATGTATTGGAGCTATGGAATTCACAGTTCCCAGAGGCTATCTAGTATGATGATTAAACTAGATTTCTTTAAAAAGGATGAACAGTTATAATGTATACTAACAAAGCTAAAGGTAATCACTAAGGCTACGATTTAGTCATAGGTATTTTTGGTAAAAGTCATCGACAGGTCATGGGCAATAAATAAAATTTCACTGCCCGTGACCTGTCCATGACTTATACTATAACTACCCCAGACTAAATCTTAAGGGGGTTGCTGCTGGATGTGTGTGCTGGGGGCTGTTGCCGGGGGGGAATCCCAGGGAGGCGGCTGCTGCTGGGGAGGCGTGGTCAGCTGTGGCACCAGCTTCCAGGGGCTGCCAGCAGTGGCTGCACTGGCCACACAAGGACTGCCGCCAGCACTAGCCACTGGGGGGCTGCCTGGGGAAGTGGCTACTCCGACCGCCGCTAGCTGCCGGGGGCTGCCCGAGCAGCGTCTGGTGCAGCCGGCTGCAGGGGTGCCCCAGTAGCTGGCCGGTGTGGCTGTCCCCGGGGTCACCTGAGCAGCTGGCCCTGTAGCCAGCTGCTTGGGCAGCCTTGGGGTCAGCCACACTGGACCCCGCAGAAGTCACGGAGGTTGTGGAAAGTCATGGAATCCGTGACTTCCACGACCTCTGTGACAAACTGGTTAAGCACTGTAGGTGACAAGAAGGAATTTTTGCACATATATAGCATTACACAGACCGTGAAGGACCTATATAAGTATCACTTCACCAACCACAGCAGCACCTAGAATATCTGCCACATTAAAACAGCATATGGTAATTCTGTACAACAATTTTAGGACAAGAAGTAAAGAATTGAAACTGCAAGGGGGAACTCTATTTGCCAGAGCTAAACTAGAGTGGAAATTGCGCTGTGCTCCTGAGGTCTGGACAAAGCCAGTCCTGATGATCTAAACCAGGAGTCGGCAACCTATGGCATGCGTGCCAAAGATGGCAAGCAAGCTGATTTTTAATGGCACGCTGCTGCCTGCCGGGGTCCTGGCTGCCGGCTCCGCTCAGCCCGCTGCCGGTTGAGCGGGGCCAGCGGCCGGGACCCTGGCAGCAGCAGCATGCCATTAAAAATCCTGCCCGGCCCGCTCTTCTCCGCCCCTCCCGCCGGTATTTGCACATGCTTTGCTGACCTCTGTCACTTCTGGCAGGAGGTTGTGTTTCCAGGTTAGCGTGTCCGGGAAGCGGCCCCGCTGGCGGGGGCAAGAAGAGGGACTCGTCCCCACAGGAGTCGCGAGGCCTGTAAGTGGGGAAGGGTCTTGGGTCCCAGCTCCGCCGCCCGCCCGCCCCAAGCGTGGCTGGCCCCGCTCCCTGGACTCAGGCAGGCTTCCCCGGGGTTGGAGCCCCGGTGCCGGGATGAGCTCGGCTCTGTACTGGGGCAGGCTGTGTCCCACAGACCGAACCTGAGCCCGGAGGCTGCGGCTCGCCGCCTGCTGGACTCTGGGAACAGCTGGGTCGCGCTTCTTTCGCCACCCCAGGTCACTGGATCCCGCTCCCCTCCGGCATTGAGGGCAGAACCCAGGAGTCCGGAGCCCTAGTCTCCATCTGCCCCCCACCCCCTCGAATAACTAGAGCCCAGCTGGAAACCTAGGAATCCAGAGTCCTCGCTCCCAGCACTCCTCCCCCGAGCATCAGACACCAGCCCCTTCCCGGAGCCCGGGAGTCCCAACTACCTCCCCGCCCTACCCCCCCTCACACACCCCCTAGCCCCCTGCCCTGACTCCTGCACCCCCCCCACATCCCCATCCCCACCCCCATCCTGAGCACCAAATGAGAGCTCCTGCACCCCTCGCACCAAATGGGAGCTGCCCAGGTAAGCACTCCACACCCAAACCTTCTGCCCCAACCCTGAGCCTCCTCCTTCATTCTAGCTCCTGGCCAGACCCAACACCCCAACCCCCAGCCTGCTCCTTCACCCCCAGCC